TTCTTTCACTTAGTAGAATGTTACTGAAGTCCCTTTTTACTGCTTACTAGAGTTCCATTGTGAGGATGTGCCACTTTGTTTTATCTACTGGCCTTGATGGACGTTGGGAAGGTCTTGAGCTCAGGGCTTCCTAAATAACGCTGCAGAGAACATTCCAAGCCTTGTGGGCCTGGCGGGCATGTGCTTTCATTCCCCTGGTCTACCCTGAGTCATTGAGACCCTGTATCTTGTCCTCTGTGTCTTCCCCACCAGTACTGTGGGTGCTCCTGCCCCACCACCCTCGGTTGGTTCCTACATGTGGCAGTTGCCCATGGTTTGGTCCTGGACCTCCTCCCCTGCTGGCGAGGGCATCTGCACCCACAGCCTGAATGACCATCTCACTCAGGAGGCCCTTCTCTCCTCCCCTGACTGCTCCGTAGCGCACCAGAAATATGCTGGTTAGTGAAATCAAGTCTTCATCTCTCTCTCTCTTTTTAACTTTTTTATACTAAGGATTGAATTTAGGAGTGCATAACTACTGAGTCACATCCCCAGCCCTTTTTATATTTTATTTAGAGACAAGATCTCACTGAGTTGCTTACAGCCTGGCTAAGTTGCTGAGGCTAGCCTCAAGCTTGAGATCCTCCTGCCTCAGCCTCCTGAGCTGCTAGGATTACAGATGTGCACCACCATGCCCAGCAAGTCTAAGTCTCTTAACACACGGATTTAAGAGTGTTAAGTGTTAAGTGTTAACCTCCAGAGGTCACAGCTTGTGTGGAGTGGGAATTGGAGTAATTTCCTAGCTTTGGTTCACCTGATAAGGTATTACAGTAGGGGCAGAGGAACCTTTCAGATGAGAGGAAGTTCATGACCTTGATATGGAGAACCATCCTGGATTGTCCCTGTGAGCCCATTGCAATCTCAGGGTCCTGAAGAGTCAAAGACAGAGCTAGGAGGGTGTCAGGAAGATGAGGCGGTGCTGTGCTGCTTCCTGGAGAGGAAGGAGCAGCCAGGAGGCCAGGAGGCCGGGTCTGTGGGGAGGCCACAAAACCAGTTCTCCCTGGAAGGAACAGAGCCTGTTGACCCCTGGCATTAGCCCTGTGAGACCCATTTTGGAGTATTACTCTCTGGAACTGTAATAGAAGCCACAATATATTTGCTTTGCTTTATTTATTTATTTCCTTTAGTGGTGCTGAGGATGGAACCCAGGGCTTCAGGCATTCTGGACGAGCCCTCTACCACTGAGCTGTGCCCAGCCCACATATGCATTATCTTTTAGCCACTAAATTTATGGTAGTTTGTTATAGCAACCATGGGAAGCTGGGAGGGATGGAGAGACCTTGGGCACAGGCTCTCACCCTAGCCTTCCCATGCCCTGGGGTGGCTGGGTATCAGCAGGGAGCCTGTCTGGGTGGGTGCCTCCAAGGCATTTCCAGTTTGTGCTTACCTTCTATTTGAGAGCCCAGAACTTAAATCACCATGTTTGTGTGACTCACTACCTATCCATGGAGGAAGAAATAAATGTGTATTTAGGACCTGCAGTTTCAGGCTGTTAGTCAACAGTTTCTCATTTATAACACAGTGGCCTTTGATATTGGCCCTTTTTTAAAATCCTTGTTTTACTGATGAGGAAACTGTGGTTCAGAAAAGTTAGGCAGTTATTTAAGGCCAGGACGAATTAGAACCCAGATCAGTCTTGAAAACTGCTGTAACAGATGTAAAAAAAAAGAAAAGAAAGATCAAAATGCTGTATAAAACAAAAGATTTTAAAAAGATTTAAAAATAGATTGATTTGTTTGTGTGCATGTGCGTGTGCACATGCACATGTGTTTGCGATAATAGGGATAGAACCAGGGGTGCTCTACCACTAAGCTGTACCCCCTTTTTTTTGGGTACTGGAAATTGAACCCAGGGGTGCATTATCACTGAGCCACATCCCCAGCCCTGTTTTGTATTTTATTTAGAGACAAGGTCTCACTGAGTTGGTTGGCACCTTTCTTGTGCTGAGGCTGACTTTTATTCTCCTGCCTCAGTCTCATGAGCTGCTGGGATTACAGGTGTGTGCCACTGTGCCTGGCCCCAGTCTTTTTTTATTTTTTATTTTGAGACAGGATCTTTCCAGGTTGCTGAGGCTGACCTTGAACTTGTGATCCTGTTATCTCAACCTCTGGAGTCCATGAGATTCAGGTGTGTAGTACTGTGCCTGACTCATTGTATTTTTAGCTAAAAGCATAAAAGTTGGGCATTATTAACAAGCTGTAATTCCCAGAACAGGATATGTCTTCATTGCCTGTGGTAAAGAGTTTGGCTCTAGGGTTGGAGAGACCTAGGTTAATGGGCCAGTTTTTTCCTTCTCCTAAGTGTGGAGAATCTGAAATGCTTGGAACTAGAAGTGTTTTAGACTTAGGAATTTTAAAATTTTGAATATCCTGGGGCTGAGATCCAAGTGTAAACACAAAATTTATTTGCATTTGATACATCCTTGTATACATAACTCAAGGTTGTTTTGTACAGTAACTTATTTTGTTTTTTTCTTTTGAGATGGGGCCTCTATGTTGCCCAAGCTGATTTTGAACTTGTGGGCTCAAGCAATACTCCTGCCCCATCCTTCCACATAGTTGGAACTTCAGCTGTATGCCACCAGGCCTGGATTTTTAGAATTTTATTCTGCCACCTTATTGTTATTATTATTGTAGTGGGATTGAACTCAGGGCACTTCACCACTGAACCACACCCCAGCCTGTTTTAGTTTTTGAGACAGGGTCCTGCTGAATTGCTAGACCCTTGATATGTTGCTGAGGCTCCCTTGAACTTGCAATCCTCCTAACTCGGCCTCCCAAGCATTTGGGATTACAGGTGTGCACCACCGTGCCTGGCTGGAATTTTCCATTTGTTGCATGGAGTTAGAGACCATCAGGGTTTGGAGTTTGGATGTTTAGAGTACAGGTGCTCAACCTGTTCTTGTCTTCCACAGGCCGCTCCCCCCATCCCCATGCCTCAGTTTGATCTTTTGTAAAGCAAGGGCATGGAAAGGGTGCCTTGTGGGTATGAAGCTCACAGAGGATGAAGAATCCAAATGACAGGAACTCTGCAGCCCATAGGGGAGGGAGGAGCCTTGGGCAAGTTTCCATTTTGGGTGACAAGATGCTCTTTCTAGGATACTGCATAGGGTCTGACGAGAGCAAGAGCTTAGGTCAGCAGTGGCCACAGAGAAACCAGAGCCACCAGAAGTGGTATTGGACCCTCATAAACACACCTCAGGTTGCTGAGCCTTGAGTAACAGGGCTGATGCAGGCCCTCAGTATGGTACCAGGACCAGGGTCCATCAGATGTGAGATTCACTGTTCATGCCACTAAGAAAAATAAGGTCAGGGAGGGAGGAGTTCTTACTACAGATAGGGCTGTTTTTTTTTTTTTCCTTCTTTTTCTTCCTGAGGCAGAGCCTGCACTGCCGCAGGTCCTCAGCACCGTGTCACCACACGGCTATCATGTCAAGGCCATGGGAACCCTTTGTCTGTCTCTACAGGTTGGTCACGCTTTGACCAGGAGAGAGCAGAAGTACCCTGATCCTCCTAGGTGTCAGGGACCTCTCCCCATGCCTGGGTAAGGGACGGCAGAGTTGGGGGCATCACATTCTCCTCCACAAAACTCCCAACGGGTCCTCCCTTCCCTTGCACCATCCAGGCCCCTGGTTGCTGGCTGGGGGGGGGGTAACTCGATCTGGGTCAGATGTTGCAGTATGAGGTAGTGTCTAGCTGAGCATCATGGTATTTTATGAAGCCCGAAATGTGATCGGTACTGTTGTCACACTTTAGCATCCCCAACAATCCCCTTGCAAATGAGTAAAACAGAGCCTCCCCAAATGCCTTCCCCCTGACATCAAGGAAAGCCCGTGGAACCCAGCCCGGGCCGAGCCATTTGACCCCTGAAGGGCTGTGGAGCCTGGGGAAGGACGGGAGGTGCTTTTCCAGTGCACTGGGGAATGTGCTGTTGGTCTTGTGTTCTCTGTGGCCTGTCTGTAAAGTCAGCACTCTCCTAAAATGCAAACTCACCAGCACGTGGGGCCTGCTGAGCCTAAGGTCCTTCTAGTTACATGAAAGCTATGAGTCAGAGATCTCCAATCAGATGCCAATGGGCCAGGTAACAGGTGAATCAAGCCCAGCAGAGACTGTGGGTACCTGCAAGTAGATGCCCCACAGCTCAGCTCCAAAGGACAGCGCGGATACAGGGATGTGGGAAAGAGCGGGACAGACAGAGCTCCCCAAAGCCGACCTGTTGCCCATCATTCCAAAAACATGTTTTGCAACCCAGGGCAGGCTAAATGAGGAGCTCTCTGCTCCTCCCTGACTGAACTTACTACCAGCGTAAGTATCCTTCTAGAGCTGCACTGCCCATAGAATTTTCTTTGATGGTAGAAATGAATGTGTGAAGAATCCAGTATAGAACTTCCTGGGTACAGGTGGCCACTGAGCACTCAAGGAGGACTAAGGAAAGACAGGAGGCCATGGGGCCCATGGGTAGTGGAAACAGCAGGCCTGGGACCCAGTGTTCAGTCAGTGATGGTCACAGACTTTGGGACCCAGAGGGTAGCCTCCAGAAGCTAACACTGGGAGAACACGGGGTTCTTGGAGACAAAGTCAGTAGAGCATCCAAGCAGAGGGGACAGTGAGGCAAAGGCCTCCACCTCATCATGGCCAGGGCTGCCATTTTTCCTGGAGGCTGGGAGGCTGGGGAGGCTAGGTTTGCACCTACAACACTCAGTGTCACACACATCACCCGCAGTCCCTTCTTCCTTGCAAAACTGTCTCAATTTGGATGATAAATTTTCTGCTCGACCTCTCTCAGGGCCAACCAGCTGCCTAATAGGAAACTAGAGAGAAAGAGAGAGGAGACCCCACAGGAACACCTCTTACCCCCAGTGGCAAAGCCCAGCCTCGGACTCCAGCATGGGCTCCCGACCCAGCTCACCCACCCCCATGGCTAGAGGAGTCAGCTCTGCAAGCCACCATCACATCAACCAGGCCTGTTTCTTCTTTCTCTTCTCCAAATTCCCCATAGGATTGTGACCAGATCCACGTTGATGATGTCTCATCAGATGACAATGGGCAAGATTTAAGGTGGGAATCTGGGGAGTCAGAACTGTCTATCAGTTGATTCTCAGGAGGGGAGGGCTAGTCACTGGACCAGATGCACCTGTCACTAGCCAGATCTGGACCCTGAGCCCCTTTGAACTCAAAGCACAACCCTGCCCCCCTCTGCAGCATCTTCTGTCACCTCTTCTGTCACCTCTGACCTCAGGTGCTGCTGCGTCACTCACTCTCCATCCAAGTGTACTGGAGTTGTGGGTGCATACCATAAAAACTCACCCCTGCCCCCCTCAAATCATTGCCATCAAGAGTTTGATCCAGGGGCTGGGGATGTGGCTCAAGCGGTAGCGCACTCGCCTGACATGCGAGCGGCC